CGCCACCACTCCCGGGCCCACGGAAACGCACTCCTCTTTTGAGTTTGTCTGACAGAAGGTTGGGGGGTTAATCGGTCTGAAGGTTTTTGGGTTTGCAAGAAGTTCTGTCCGCCAGCCGGTATCTCTTTGGTTCTGTGCTTTTAAATTAAATATCTTAAATTTATGACCCGGCCAACCTACCGTTCTTCCCATTCACTTAGAACCTCAACCACTTGAACCCCACACTAACTCATCTCTTTTATGGTTCCTTTATCTTCAAACTTCTCCTCCGCCCCACCCCCTTCCTTTTTTTTTCGGCCTTCAAACTGCCCGACTATGTTGGCCCGAGAACCATGTGGTTACATTCATCCACCTTGTCCCTTGGGGCTGTTGCCACCAGATTATTTATTTATTTATTTATTTATTTATTTATTTATTTATTTATTTATTTATTTATTTATTTATTTATTTATTTATTTATTTTTTTATTTATTTATTTTATTTATTTATTTATTTATTTATTTATTTTGTGTGTGTGTGGGGGGGGGTGGGGGGGGGGGGGGGGTAGTAGAGGTTTTACGGCGCTCGCAACTACATAAGGTCATATGGGTGCCAAGGGGTGGATGTCAACAGAGGAGTCCTTACAGGGAATCAGACTTACTCTGCTCACCTCTCTAGCTTCAACAGCACGACGTCTACTTCCACTATCAAGGCAAACCGGAAATAGTGGGCCACAAGAGTGTGACAAACATACAAAAGAAGTAGAGGAAATGACGATAATTTGGCGATGCCACTGACTGAAGTGTCTTTAGGCCATTCCCAAAGGGGGGGGGGGGGGGACATTTCTCATTCTTATGCACAGTAGAATTGTAAATGATTCAACAATGTTATACTCATAACGGTGTCTGAACTACAACAGGGAATTGCTGCTGTTTCTTTCCTAATCCTTACTATCGTCATTTTACTTTACTTCTTTTGTATGTTTGTCACACTCTTGTGACCCGCTATTTTCGGGGTACCTTGAAAGTCGAAACAGACTTTGTGCCGTTGAAGCTAGAGAGGTGATCACAATAAGCCCGATTCCCTGTAAAGACTTCTCTGTTGACATCCACCCCTTGGCGCTTATATGACCGTAAGCATTTGCAAGCGCCGTAAAACCTGTACTAAAAAAAAACCCTAAAGACTTTTATTTGTTTCTTGTTTTTGTTTGCTTTGGTTTTTATGTTATTTGTTTTTTGAATTTTTTAACGAACATACTGTGTTGTTATGGAGTCAAAGAAGGTGTGTCTTTCACTCTGTCAACAAAACACACGAACAACCGCCCCCACTCTGCAGAACGGTGATTCGGTGGGTGCTTTGGTGTTGTCTGCTTCTTTTACTTCTTTTCAGTGTAGCTCTTATTGTCATTGACTGTACAAATTATGTAGCCAGGCTGTCATGTTGTCATGTTTATTTATATATATATATATATATATATATATATATATATATATATATATATATATATATATATAGCCCACCTGTCTACATCGGATTATCAGGTTGTTTTCCTCATTAGAGTATACTCATGACCATAATATATCCTACCACAGTATAGCGGCGTCCAGAAACCGGAGATGGTATGTACACGTCACCAACGTTCTCTCTACAGCTAGTTGTATTCTTGTTGTCGCTTCCCACTTTCCTCGATACTGGCATCTATAAATAGTCACGTTGACACTTCGTTTTGCTTCTTCTTTTTTTATATTTAAAAAGCAAGTTCTTTCGTACTACCACTCTATAAAGACTCTTTTAGCGAAAAATGTAAGTTATTTTATTTATTATTATAGTAGAGGGTTTTACGGCGCTCGCAACTGCTTAAGGTCATATGAGCGCCGAAATGTAAGTTAAGTTAAAGCAGTTAAACTGCAAGTGATTAATTAATTTTTAAGTTACACTTCAGTATTTTGTCTGTAGCGCTTTGCTGAAAAATACCAAGTAAAGATGCAAATACTTATAACTAAAAATTGTTATGTGTGCAATGACTAGGCCTACTTATTTTTCAAATTTTAAAATCTGATATATTTAAAAAAAAAAGTAATGCGCACTGAGCTTTTTCTTTTTGAAAATGGAAATGCGCCGCATAACTGCTATAATTTATTATTAGTGTTCGTTGATTGTTTTTTTTTCTTCGAGTCAGTTAAGGAGCCATGCACACAGCAGAGTTTACTAGATCTACAACAAGTTGAAAAAAACGAACATTTTTTTCTAAATTACGAATGGGTTATATGGGTATATTTTTCAAATGTATGACTTTCTCACGATAGCAATGTGATCTGTATGAGCCGGTTTACAAAGCGAACCAAACGTTTCTGTCAACGTGACTGTTTTGCCAGTATTACGCGACTGCTCGGTGTCAGAATTCGTCATACTACTACGTCATTTTTCAACATGGCGCATGGCGGACTCTTCCACTAACTATAAGCCGTCGACATTTTGTTCTTTCGCCTCTTTGTGTGTCAGTGACGATGTGAAGAATACGCCCTAAAGCTAAAGCTGGGGAAACGTGTAGGCCAGAAGAGGTGCTAGAATAAAGATGATTAAGCTGACAAAAAGAAATTTATTTTACCATCTACGAAACTTAAAACAATGGGTGAAAGTGCATTAGAATACCAAGGCCCCAAGATCTTGAATGCTTTACCTAGTAATTTAAGAGAGATCAAATCTTTTGATTCGTTCAAATGTAAGCTGAAGTCCTTTCTGTTTCTAAATAAATAAGATGAATATTTCGAGTGATTTTCTTTAAGTCAGAACACAAAGATTTATGTTACTGTTGTACGTTGCACTGTATTGTAAAGCACTCAGAGCCTGTGTACTTGAATCGGGGTGAAGCGCTGTATAAATGCCATTTATTATTATTATAATCAATTAATGTAATGATATATAAAACATTATGGTATTGACTGTTGATTCGGAATTAAAAGGAGGAGATAAAGTGAATTTATAATAATATGGTTTTTGTTGACTTTTATCTTTTGATTTAGTTTTGGATACTTACGTTTGTTTAGGGTATATATTTTTAGATAGTCCCAGATCCAGGGACATTTTAATTTCACACTTTACTGTCCGCACTCACTAGTTTACATATTCCGGTTGCTATT